ATTTAGATTAAATAAGACCAAGAAAGGTTTTCTAAAGAAACACAGATCCTTGGTACCAGTATCTTCACCATCCTTTTGGTTTCTAGATTGGTGTAACTAGTTACTCTCTTAGCAACTCCCCTTGTCAGCTCAAACTGAACATATCCTGAATTTAAATTGTGGGATTATTCTGCAAATCTGCTCCCCATACTAGTATCCTTGCATACCGCTGTCAGAAACCTAGGAGGCATGTGACCCTTTGTTCTCACACCCACATCCAGTCAAATTCCAAATCTCAACAATTCTACCTCCTACACAGATCTTGAAGCTACCTCTACATCTAATGCTATCACCCTAATCCATATTTCTTAGCTGACCTATCATAATAATCATCTAACAGGTTTCACCAAGTGCACCTTTACCCTCTCCAAACTATTCACAACACAGTGTATCTTAAAATATAAACCAGATCACTTTCCTCTAAAGCTTGCAATCTTTCTATGGCATTTCTGTTGTAGTTAATGCCGTCGAGTTGGTCCTGACTCATAGCGACCCTGTAGAGGGTTTCTGAGGAGCAGATAGTGAGTTTGAAGTGCTGACCTTGCAGTACAAGCCCAGTATTGATCCCACAGTGTCACACTAGGAGTCCTTCTATGGCATGTGGTGGTGGTAGTGTGCCGTGGAGTCGGTTACGACTCATAGCCACCCTGTATAGGAATTTGGAAGCTGTAAATCTTTATGGGAACAAAAAAGCCTCATCTTTTTCCCACAGAACGGCTGGTAGTTTCAAACTGTTGACTTTGAGGTTAGCAGCCCAACTTTTAAGCTTGATGGTATGCTAGGCCAAAGATCAAACTAGCTTTTACAAGGCGTCCAGCCTCACATGATCTGACCAGGTTAATACTGCATCAAAGGAGGAAAACTGCATAAAGGAGGAGGGAACCAAAAGGGATGCATACAGCAAGTCCAGAATGACAGATGGAAATATGCCACTGGGCTTGATAGAGTAGCAGAGATGGAGGGCACAATAGGGAGTTGCCTGGGTAATGGTAAGAGAGGAAGTGGAGCGGGAGGTCAAGGAAACAATGTAAAAAATTAGGTGATAGTAAGAGTCAGGTTACAGAAGTGGGTTTGTTCGTTAAGTGCCGTCAAGTCAGTTCCGACCCATATCCACCCTGTATAGGGTTTCTGAAGAGTGGCTATTGAGCTTGAACTGCTGACCTTGTAGTTCAAACCATCTTTGCAGTCCCGTGCATTAACCCACAGCGCCACACCAGGACTCCCACATAAGTGGAGTTGTTGTTAAGTACAGTGGAGTCAGTTCCGACTCATAGTGACCCTGCATAGGGTTTCCGAGGCTGCAAATCTTTACGGGGGTAGAAGGCCTCGTCTTTCTCCCATGGAACAGCTAGCAGTTTCAAACTGCCTACCTTCAGGTTAGCAGCCTGATTTGTAACCACTATGCTATCAGGTTCAAAAGCACATATGAAATGATTACTTCATAACAGTTTCTCAGGGTAACATACCAGGGTGTTACACTCAGTGCATTTCTGGTATTCTGACTTCATTCTTTTGGCTACATCAGTTGCTGGAACACCTTCTGAAGAAAGATAGGCCCGGCAATAAGGACAGGTCCATTTATTGTTCTTTAGACTGGTAGCAATACAGGAACGGCAGAATCTACGGGAAACAAACCAAGAATGTATCACTTTCCTGAAAAGGTATAAAGGAGACACTGCTACGTGTGCTTTGTTTTTATAAATTGTATTTTAATGACATCTAGCACACTATGAGCCACACTACCAAAGTAAAGTTCCACTACCAAGAGATGATCTTACCTTGTCACCAAGATGTTTGGAGATCACACATTTTCACCACATGCACTGCATGCATTTAAACAAAATTAAGAACAGAGACCAAGTAAGGAAACAGCATTCCTTAATTCTATTTTACCTCAAGACTTTATTTTATTTTTTTTGACAAATAGGTCTTTGCTTGAGGGATTTTGTGTATTAGATAAGAAAATAGTAGTAAGCTTCAGAGGTAAAAATACTAGACACACTTAAAATTTTTATAATGTTGAAGCCATCCCAAGATATAGAAAATTAACCAAAATTACCACTGTTAGGATAATCCTCCAAGTTATTCTCTAGTTTATTTAAAGATGATCATAATAAAATCTTAACACAAGTTACATAAAATCTTCACCTATATACAGGAGTTTCTGAAAACTGAATGCATACTGCCACCACTCCTCTGTCAGTTTGTTTTACTGTGGTGGCTTACATGTTGCTGTAATGCTAGAATGTAAGCCACCAGTATTTTAAATACCAGCAAAGTAAGCCATGGTGAACAGGTTTTAGTGAAGCTTCCATGTTGATAGACTAGAAAGAAGGAAAGGCATATCATTTCTGGATGGTTAGCCACTGAAAACCTTATATATAGCAGTGAAACACTGACTGATACAGTGCCAGAAGATGAGATCGTCAGGTTGGAAGGCATTCAACATACACCTGGGGAAGAGCTGCCTCCTCAAAGCAGTTGTTGTTTTTAAGTGCCGTCGAGTCAGTTTTGACTCATAGAGACCCTCAATAGGATTCCTAAGGAGCGGCTAGTGGGTTTAAACAGACAACCTTACAGTTAGCCATCCAGTGCCTATCCAACAGTGCCACACCAGGACTCCAAGTAGAGCTGACCATAATGGAATAAAGCTTCGGGTCTTGTATTTGCTCATGGGGCACAACTCAAAATGAGAAGAAATGATTGCAAACATTCATTAATAATTGGAATGTGGAATGCAGAAGCATGAATCTAGGAAAGTTGGAAGTCATTAAATATGAAATGGAACACATAAAGATCGAAATTCTAGGCATTACTGAATTGAAATGGACAGGTACTGGGCATTTTGAATCAGACAATCATATGGTTTACCATGCCTGGAATGACACATTGAAAAGGAATAAAATCACATTATTGTCAGAGAGCATTTTAATATCCAGCTTGAATTGCAATACTATTTTTTATAGGAAACTATCCATATGCCTCAAGAAAGACCACTTAACGCCTCTATTATTCAAATTTAGCACCAACCACTAGAGCCAATGATGATAAAATTGAAGAATTCTACCAACTTCTTCACTCTGAAATTGATCAAACAATTAAGATACATGGGTAATTACTGGTGACAGGAATATAAAAGTTGGGAACAAAGAGGAAGGATTTGTTAGGTGCCATCTAGTTGGAAATTATGGTCTTGGTAATAGAAATGACGCTGGAGCTCTCATGATAGAATTTTGCAATGCCAATGACTTATTCGTTGCAAATACCTTTTTTTAACACAAAAATGGCAACTATACGTGTGGAATACACAGGAATCAAATAGAATACAACTGTGGGAAGAAACCATATCATCAGCCATCATCAGCCAAAACAAGGACAAAGGCTGACAGGCTGATTATGGAGCAGACCATTAATTGCTCATATACAAGTTCAGACTGAAGCTGAAGAAACTTCATTAAAACAAGTACATGAAAGTCAAAACCTGACCTAGAATACAGCCTGTCTGAATTTAGAGACCATCTCAAGAACAGATTTGATGCATTTGAATGACTGGAGTCCAGAGGAGTTATGGGATGGCATTAAGAATAACAAAAGGTCACTAAAATAGGAAGAGAGTAAAAGGTCATTAAATGACAGGAAGAAAAGAAAGAAAAGACCAACGTGGATATCGGAAGAGACTCTGAAACTTGCTTTTGAATGTAGAGAAGCTAAAGCAACAGAAAGAAATGATGAAGTAAAAGAGCTGAACAAAAAATTTCAAAGGGCAGCAGAAGAAGACAAGGTAAAAATTATAATGAAATGTCTTCTTCTGGAAGCTCCACTGAAATCTGTTCACCATGGATGAATTTGATGTTCTTTAAAATGCTGGTGGCGTAACTTCCACCATCACACAACACACAGGCCACCATAGTACAACAAACTGAGAGACAAATTGTGGGGAACACTAACCCTAATCCTAGCCATAACCCTAACACTATACAAAACCCTAGGCCTAATCTAGACTTACTTAGCCATAGGCCCAGCCCTAACTCCTTACTCCAACCACCCCCAGAAAAAGGCAAGAAAACCCTTGGGGCAGTTCTACTGTCATATGGGGTCACTATGAGTTGGAACTGACTCAATAGCACCTAACAACATGCACAATGAAAAGTTCATGTCATGAGTATATGAGACCATTCAATTAATTTTCACAGTTGAACAACTAACAAATAAGGTAGCAACACTTATATTAAAAAGTATATAAGACCAGTCCCTGGAATCTTTCCTTCTGTTCTCTTGCAGTAACAATTATGACTTTTTCAAGGTTAGACTTTTAACTTCTAACATTATACACTAGTTTTGCCTGTTTTTGTATGAATGAAATAATATAAAAAAAATTCTCTTATTTTGTCTGCTTCCTTTAGCTCAATACTGATCATGAGATTCATCCATATTGTTGTATGTAGCGACTGTCCATTCTTGTTTTTATATTATAAAGTCTGTTGTGTGAATACACCACAACTTATTTGTCATTTTATTATTGATAGCAATTGGAGAGGTACTTAAATGTGCTATGATGTAAAAGTTTAATGGGCAAGCAAAGCTATTTTCCAAATCATTCTAGCTCTTTTTCTCCTTACCTCTCAATTACATTAGCCATTATCAGTTCTTAAAAGTACCCTCTTCTGCATCTGCTATAAAATTATAAGCACCTAGAGGATGCTTTTGCTTGCACAGTGCTTGAGGCATCTACTCCATGTTTATGACTTGCCAGCATGTTGTTGTTGTTGTTGTTGTTATGTGCCATTGAGTCGATTACGACCCATAGCAACCCTGTATAGGGTTTCTGAGGAGCAGCTGGTGACCTTGAACCGCCGACCTGGCAGTTCAAATGGCTTTGCAATCTGGCGCATTTACCCACTGCGCCACACCAGCATATATGCCCCCCTTATTCTTGAAATTGCATTTTGATTTTGCTCTGCAGTATACACTTTTACATGAGATACACTCCTTGGTGGGAACTCAATCAAGGTGCCCACCATCCCCTGGCTGAAAACATGAACATCTGATGTAGGCTCAGCCAAGCATGAACATCTGATGTAGGCAGAGCCTCACTCTGGAAGTTGACTTCTAGATAGACATACTGCTTTAGTAGCAACCTGATTGGACTCTCCTTCTCTTTACTTAAAATCCCAGATTTGCTCAAGTTCCTACCCTTTCATGTTGATTCTGTGAGCTATCCTATTTATTTCTTATGTAGGCCTTTTTTGGTTTAACTAACTAGTCAATTTCTTTAATTTGCAAACTAAATATACTAACTGTTTTTGCTGTTTGGTAACCTATAATTTGGTATAATTTCAAACTCGATAGACTGGTTTCTACAAAACAAAAAATACATTGGATACTTCCACATACCTGTAATTTACTTGGCCTTAATAAAGTAATTTATTAACTCCACGGGAGAAATATGAGGCTTTCTGGTCCCATATAGATTTAAGGTGCATGTGGTCCACAAAAGGGATTAGATGACTTGCTAATAATACAAATAGGTGTATGGCACCCTTTTATGGGCAGAACCGTGCAAATAAGGTATGTAAAACCCTTATGAGTGGGTTGGATCGTTTTTGCTGTCCTGGTAGGCTTACAAGATAATCAGTTCCAAAGGAGAGGGGGGACCTGACTACCACCAAGATGAGATGGGAGCAGAGCATGTCCATTGGGCCCTGGATACCTATGCTAGGAACGTCCTAAGGGACTGAGAGCTGGAACTCTGGAGACAGCAAAAAGCAGTAGCAGCAACAGATCCAAGACACTGGCAGGAGATAGTAAGAGCTAGAAAGCGGAGAGCCTTCTGGCGGGAGGTTTGCTGGCAGAGTTGGGTGCCCCTAGGAACTTGGTAGAGCTAGGCTTAGACAACCTAGCACACTTGACAAAGTTAAATTTGCTAACCAACAGACCTAGAGATCTGAGTATCTTCAAGCTGAGGCTTATTAGTGGAATGGGGAGACTTCTGGGAACTTATTAGTGGAGCTTAAGAGCTTTGTAACAATTGCTGAGTAGGGCAGAGTTGAGGCCAGCCCAGCCCCAGGGGCTGAGAGGGAAAGAGAAGCCTGCCTAAGGGCATGGCTAGACAAGGCTGTTCAGATCAAAGAACTAAAACTGTCTTTCTTGACTCTGACTTATGGTACCTGTTGTTGTTGTTGTTGTCATGTGCCGTGGAGTCGGTTCTGACTCATAGCGACCCTGTACAAGGTTTCCGAGGCTGTAAATCTTTACGGGAGCAGAAAGCCTCATCTTTCTCCCACGGAGCAGCTGGTAGTTTCGAACTGCTAATCTTGCAGTTCGCAGCCCAATTTGTAACCACTACGCTACCAGAGCTCCTTTTACTTCCCTAATAAACCCACAATTGTGAGTATGGTCTATAAATTCTGTGTGGTCATTGCAACGAATTACTGATCCCAGCAGGGTAATAAAGGATGTTGTAGAAGGTACAGCTAGTGTCAGAACGGGTTAAAAGGTTGAAGGATAGAGGCATATTTGACCTCCGCCTCATGTAAATCAGCCTTTGGTTGATGCTGATTCCCTCTCCCCTGGGACATTAGACAAGGAGATTGGACAGTTGGTTGCCACACCATGTAAAC